TTCCAGGAAACTCACAGAATATCAACCAGTCTGGAGGTAGTGGATCTTATTGGTTAAAAGTCTCAGGCTTTAGAATCAGACTGACCTGAGTTTGAATCCTGGCTTTGTCACTAATAAGCTGTATGGCATTAGGCAGGTTATTTGACCTCGCTGAGCTTTAACTGTTTAATCTATAAAATATAAGGCTACCAAGGCCTACATCTCACAAGAATGCTATAAGGATAAAAAGGAAATAAAATAATACACCTAAAGCAGAGTACCTACTCCACATGAAGCTATTAAAATAACAGCTAACAGGCCAGGCATGGTGGCTCATGCCTGTAAATTTGGGAGGCCAAGGCGGGAGACTGCTTGAGCCCAGGAGGTGGAGGCTGCAATGAGCCATGATTGTGCCACTGCACTCTAGCCTGAATGACAGAGGGAGGCCCTGTCTCAAAAAGAAATTAAAAAAGCTAACCTGACAGGCATTTACTTGCTCCATACCAGGCACTGTATTAAGGGCATTATGCACCTTGATTTATCATGTATGAAAGTACTTGACTTTCCAAGTCATAGTCAAAACGATATGGGGGTATTATGATTACTGCTATTATATTACTCTTACTAACCAAGTCACAGCACTATATATTTAGATAAAAATAATCTACTTAAATAAGAGTGTTTCAATAAGAAGCAAAAGAGAAAACTCTGATGTTTCAGTATCTCACAGAAGTTACAAATGTGAATTAATGCAGTTTTCTCACCAGGCCCACTGTCCTTCAGGGTCACCAAGGGCACAAAGTGATGACTGTCATAGCCGAGAACAATGGGGTATCTATAACATTCCTGAGCAGGCCAATGGAGAGGCAGGTAAATTCCACCCACTTTCAAAGGAGCAAAATTGGAACCTGATTCCAAACTTCTTAGCATTTTGTCTGTTCAAGGAAAGAAAAGAAAAATGAGGCCCTTAAGGCGACTTTCATCAAATTCCATTTAACTCTGTTGCTTGAGCTTGGGCAGTGTGGTTTTCTCTAAGAGCCAAGGCATTAAAGCTGAAAGCATTTAAGTGCAGATACATGATCTGCAGGCGTCTCACCTGAAATGACAATGATTGGCCTTCTGAGGATGTTGCAAAGGACAAATATGTGTATTTCTTCCAGTGAGTTGTACTGAAGCCCAGTTCGGGCCACGGGTGTGTCTGTGGAAGCCATTTTGATAAGGGTGTCCCATTCATCATTCCAGTTCTAAGGGGAGGAGGGTGAAAGAGGAAAAAAAGCTTGAATATACCCTGTACTCCTATACTAAAAAGTCATTCTGACATCACTCTGCAATTATTCACTTATATAACTCAGCTTATTTTTCTCCTTTCATGAAACCATCATTCAAATGATCACCCTTTTTGTCCCATTTTGGTTTTCTTCCTTTACTTTTTTCTACTACAAGGCAAACTCAAAAGTTGGGGAGGACAGGGACAGCACCTGCTTTCAAAAAAAAATCCCTGATGAGGTATCACATTGCAGCCCCTCATCCAAATGTTCACAAAAATTCCAAACTTGTGACTGAGGATGGTGAGGCACGTGTTGTCATGTTATTGGCTGGCTCAGCAAAGCTAAGGGCAATCAAACTGAAAAACAACAAAACACCAATGGGAAAGGCCATGAGCAGAAGACCTGCTGCTAGAGGGAACAGATCCACAGCTGGGAATCTGCTAACCAAAAGCAGTGGCAAAAGCCTTGGGTTAGTCCCATAGGTTTCTGGTGTTTTCCACTGAGTATGCTTCACTTAGCCAAATTCATATGACCTATTCCATTAGATGCTACCAGAGGGCAGGGACTCACCCAGGGGTACCCTATGCCCACCATGGAGTTCTGTCAATAGATAATTAGGGGGCACTACATACCCGAGTGTCATAGCAAAGCCCCGTTTCCACAAATTCCTGAGATTTGAGAGACTCCAGTTGCCAGCGGAATTTAAAGTTGCGCGTGTCTGTTTCCTTGAGCGTGCTGAACAGCGCCTTCCTCAGTACCAAGTCTGTGTCCTGAACACCCCACATGTACTGAGAAGTGGCGTGCATGAGGCAATTGCCGTCACCTGAGGACAGAAAGGAGGAGAAGAGAAGGAAAGTCAAGTTATCTGCATTTAAGGCCCAGCAAAGGTTTTCAGAATAAACCAGCCCTGCTACTGTGCTAGGGCATTGAGTGGTTTAATTTGGTTTAATTTCCTAGTCAAGGACAAATTGGTATTTCACAAGATAATGACAGCTTTAAGGATAAACCAGTTCTTTTTATTCTTCTTTTTAATGAATGACACCAACAGCAAAGGAACCAGGGGACCTTGGATCTAGCTTAACTCTGCTCCCAACTCGTTTAGGTGACCTGGGGGAAATTCCTTAGGTTCTCTGGGCATTTTTCCTCTTTGTGAAATGAGGGCACTGAGTGATGATCTCTAAGGCCCCATCCCTTTCTACGATCCCTTGATTTGCTGGTGAAGGCACAGGCATTGCTGCTGTCTAATCCTAAGGAAGAGCACACAGGGCAACATGCACAAACCAGGAAGCAGGCATGGCTTGCTAGACTGGGATGGTCTGGCTATGACTCAATGGCAAATGACTTGACCATTCCCCTTTAGCCTTTGGGCCCTGGGAGTTTCTTCTCCTGGTGTGTAAAGCGAGGTTGGCAACACTGAATCACCTATGGCCTGCCAGTCCAGCTCTCAAAAACGCGTTATGCAAACCTGCTTGTTAGTAACTGTAAAGTACAAAAGTTAAAAAGCACCTGGGTGTCTACATTTGAAAATAATTCAGTGTTTAGGGCTGACATTTTGAGGAAGAAAAAAAAGCAGGTTGAATTGTATGCAATTAATTTGTGACCTTTCCAGTTTAAAACTCACAATTCAATGGGCTGCATTTTTTTCAACCTCCAAACAATAAATCTTTTGGGGAAATGTTTAAAACAAAAACAGTTAACTCCTTAGTATCTTTTGGCAAATACAAAATAATCCTTATAAAGAAAAGTTAAACTGTTTCTTATATTACTCTATAAGTAGGGCAATAATGCTATTTGAAATTTTATCAAATTATAATTATAGTCAAACTATAAAGAGACCAAAAAACCGCTCAAATATGTATCCACAGCCAGTATTCCTTCAAGTTATACATTTAGAAAAACTAGCTAAGTAAGTATTCAAACAAATGGACAAAAAAGATCGCCCAAGCCTTGTGCCTTGGCAGACGTGGAGCAATGATTGCATTCTGTTGAAATTTCCCCTTTGCAAAATCTAGAGCAAAGATAAGGCTTTTTTTCTTCTTCTTGTGCTTACTTTCAGTTCTTTATTGAGATGCACCAGTATAAAATTCCCTAAGTAACATCTGGAATTCCCCAGTGCTAAGTTATTTGACTAGCAATTGAGCAACAGCTATTGTACTTTTTGTTCTGGTGTGTAGACATTTAAACTGCGAGGTGCACCCTGGACTTTCCAAGTGGGTGTGGTCAGGGTGAGCTGGAATAGGGCTACTCATTATACAAGTGAAATCGCTGCAGCCAATAGACGCTGGAATTTTTCACATGAAGTTTCAATTTTATGCCACCTACTCCCTTCCTCATTCACCACAGTCTCATATCCTCAAATGCAAACTTGTGAATCACCCCCTCCCCAGATATTGCCTTTGAATAAGCCTCCTATCAGGGGAAAGATTGTTTTTAAAAAAGGTGCTAATCAAAATCAAAGAAAAAAAAGTCATTTGTATTCCTCCCTCCCCGATATCCTTTCTTGCACATTTAGAATCTTAAGGAGTTTTCTAGAAAGTGAAGAAACAAAAGGATTCTGAGTCTAACAATGATTTCCCAAAAAATGTTACCAAAATGCACCTGCTTTTGTAGTTTTATCTGTAGTGTGACTCCTTGCTGATTTAAATGACATGTTTGCAAAGTAAGTGTTTCCTATTTATGTTCCCTTTTTTTCCCTAGTGGAAATCGAGCATTTCCTATCTTAAGGAAACAAAGCAAAAAATCAGTTAATTTTCTTAATAAGGCTTTCCCCTTCCTACCACATCTTTAATTCAGCAGAATCTTTGTTTCCAACTCCCCCAAAGTTTACTCTATCTCTTTTTGGTAACAAAATGGGAGAGCATTAAAACCACAAATTGTCAGGCACATAAACCCCATGATGATGACTTTACATAATTACCTGCCTCTATGTATCACTTAATTTAATGCCAAGAATAATGCAGACAGTAGCTATCCCTAGTTTTCTTTCTACCTATGTTTCTAAGAATCAGTGTTTCATAAATCTAGGCAAGATGTTGAAGCAATGTACAAGAGCCCCCAGAATCAAAATTTAAAAACCCATATCCACCAATCACTCTAAGTTACCCAAGTCAAAAAAGGCCAAAGTTAATGTACCAATTAAGTTAATTAAGTTAGTGTTCTTATGGTAATCATTGTCAACAATGATTTTCTGCTCTTGGACATCTTACTTCTATTAGGATGGTTTGGGACTGTCAAAGATTTAAGTATCTGAGATTCCTGGTCTTATGTAGTCTATGAGCATTTAACTGATCTTGTACAGTCTACTTGCTTATTGTAATAATTATCCACATCCACAGAGTAGAATTTTGTGCCTGCATGAAACAGTATGCAACAGACACTCCTGTTGATGCACAAATTCTTACCCAAGGGAAATGATTAAAAAACAAAACAGTAAAGCTTGGAATAGGAAATAGCACTCCTGGTAAAGGCCGTTGGCAGAACAGCACAGGCAGGAAGGATTTCAGTGACTGGGAACTCCTAAACATAATGAAGGTGAAGTCTAAAATTCATGCTAAAAACCTCAGCTATCTATCTGTTTCACACTGCAGGGCATAGGCAGTAGAATCCAGGCCAGAGAGGAGGAGGAGACAAAAGAAGTTCCTCATGTCTTCAACAGCCATTCACTGGTTAACCCATAAAATGCTATCAATTTGAGAGGCATAAGAACATCATACGCATTTTCTAATGACAGTGGGAAACAAACGTACTACCAGTTTTCACACCATGCTTTGCTTTTGAACTTAAAGGCTTTTAACATTTCCATTACGGGCCAGTGAAGGGTATTTTACAGATGATTAAACATTTGCAAGAATTAGAAACAAATCACTTAATTGGAGTATTAGAAATGCATTCTCCAAGCCTCAATGTGCTCTGCAATATACACAATCAGAAAATAGCCTTAATAAATAGATTCACAAAACAAGTCAGCTCTTATCACATGTCCCGTATAGAGTTTCTACACTACGGTGACTATACTAAACCTCAAGAGATTTGAGTTTGGGCTTGTGCTATTCAAGCTCCATGAATGGGGACCCAGCAGGCAGAAGCTATCACCCAGGTGAAAGCAGCACAACAGAGCAAGTCTTACCATTCGTTTTCAGCGCTACAAGCTTCCTGACTTCCCGACACCAGTTGAGTTTCTTCTGGCTTTCCAGGGAAGCCTGGATGTTTCTGTCGATGAGGGCTTTGTGGATGATCTCCCGAAATTGAGGACAAAACTGGCAAGTTCTAAACATTTCCAGTGTGTATCGGTGCATGGTTTTAAAATGATGAATGATCCCATTCGTAGGTTTAAAAATATCTTCTGGAGTTCTCTCCCGTATCTTCACAGCTTTCCGCATGTTGCTCAAATACAAAGCCTGAGGAAGGACCTGTTCAGCCATTGTGCTCTCCAACACCTGAAAAGGAAAGAAAAAAAAAGCCATTCCGTTAGCCTGACTTTGATATGACTCCTATATACCTGTCTGCAGGAAACCCCAGTGTTTGATCTTGTCATTACCCTGATCTGTAGGCAAAAGATCTTAGCACCTCTACTCCCGGGATACTAGCTGGCCCAGAGATTAACTCACACTGGGCTGTTTTAAGTTACATCACTTTAAAAGATTAGTCTAAACAAGGGACGGAAGGCAGAGAGTGGGTACTGAGGAGGAGGGGAATAACCCGTGTTTTCAGTAACGTTTGTCAGGGAGCCAAGCCTGTCTGTCAGCAACAGGTACTGCTCCTCAAAATCAACTGAAGCTCCCGTTTCATTCTGAGACCACGCCGAACAGCACTGGATTTGGGGAGTACCGGATGCCAGTTAAGGGCTCAACATAGCCCTGACAAGTCTGTAGCTCCTCCCCTTCAGACCACCACCAAGCCACCCTGCTCTTGGGCAAACTCTTGAGTAATCACTCCCTCCCTATGCTGGTAAACTATTTTATGAAAAATCTTGCAATTTTATGCTGTCATTTAGGCTGCTGGTTGGTGTTTCCTCTTTAGCCCCAAAGAGAAGTATTTAAGTGTTTATTCATAAAGTTTATTCTAATGTTTATAAAGAGTTAAAGCCGAATGTTTTCTAATCAACAAAAAAAACCACTTCCAGCAAGATGCGCTGCAATTTTAAGAGCAGTCAACATTCCTTCAGAACTTCCCCACCGGACTTCATATCAGAATAAGAAACAGACTCATAATAGGCTGGGCACGGTGGCTCATGCCTGTAATCCTGGCACTTTGGGAGGTCGAAGTGGGAGCATCACTTGGGCTCAGGAGTTTGAGACCAGCCTGGGTAACATACTGAGACCTGGGTCTCTACAAAAACAAAAAATGAAAAATCGCAAAATAATAACAGAACAATAAATTCTATACTTCCAAGAACAGATATTGGAGCTCAATCATTTCAACTCAACTGCCAATAAAATTCTGTCATCACCCTCCAGGTCCTAACACAGATGCATGTCTGCCCAGTTTTCACCCTGAAATCTTTAAGCGTAAGCAACTAGTAGAAGGAATGAAAGTCTAGAAGCAGACAAGGAATAAGTTTCCACCAGGAGGCCACTCCAGCAAATGAAGGAGGAAAGGGGGCAAAGACCAGCAACGACAACCCATGCCAACAGCGCAGGATGATGTGAATTAACATAATATGGGATCTCTCCAGTATGGAGCCGTGTGGAGAGCCAGCTCTGGTTCACCAGCCCTTTTTGGGTGCCTGGCCACACTTCCTAATTTCCAAGACGATGAAGATGTTTTCAGAGCACAAAGACATCCCCTAGGAAATTTCAGTGATTGTTAATTCCACTTCTGCAGCAACCTATTTATCAGGGCAACTCTCCAGTTGATAAAATGTTAAACCTCTGGAAGAGGGAGGAGAAGAAACCTAGATTTTAGGGTAGCTACTCTTGGGTGGGTCTAGGCTCCCTTAACGCCATTGATAAGGTGGTCTAAATTCTTGTGGCCCACTCAAGAGAGGTTGGACTTAGATGACCCATGGTTTCTCCTGAGGAGTTTTCTGGTGACAGTTTTAGATTGGGATTCTTAATCTGATTGCTGGGAAAGGCATAGGGGGAGTCACTCTCCAGATCGGACGGTGTTTTCCTTTGATATCAGCCATCCTCTACAGGTGAAATTGGGCAAAATCATAGCAGGACAAAAATAACACATATACCTTTCCTTTGTGGCACAGCAAAAGTCTCTTTCACAATATTGTCCATCCATCTGTCTGTCCATCCATCCATCCCCCCACCTACCCACCCAACAAGCTCTACCTGACCACCTAATGAAGGCCAACACCATGTTTGATGAGGGACTAAAAGTCAAAGATGACCTTATTTCCTTCCTTGAAACCACACTATTACCTTAGTGTGCAGCTAAGGCAATGGAGTTACAGGTACTGCTTAGATCCCACAGCTATTCAGGGGCAAAGTTTAGCCTAGGAGCCAGGTCTTTCAATACCTGCCCCTTGCAATCCGACAACACCAAAGCTGCGGCTACAGTGCCTGCCACAATCAGATGGAAAGAGATGGGCAGGAGGAAGATTTTAAACAAAAGAGGTGTTATCTCTTTTTGCTTTTCTGACTCTTTTATTTTTCTCTTCCGAATCTAAAGATTTTTCACCAAAGATCTAAAATAGTGAGGGCTGTAGACCACAGGCAAGATATGCAAATGTCAATACTGGATACCCCAGTGGGCTCTCACTGGGAGGTTTAGCCTTGCACAGCCTGTAAAATTGAAATCAAATCCTTAGAAATCAAAACCCACTGCCCAGGTTTCCAGTTCTTGGACTTCTCCACAGTTAAGATTAAAGAACAAATGTTTCAGATACATTTTAAAGTGGCAAACAATGCAATATTACCCTTAACTTTTTTTTTTTTTTTTAACATTTGTTACCTCACCGTCTTATTTATTTTCTCAACTTCTGTCACTAGGATTAACGGGATTCTAAAGAAATTCTCCATTCCTCAAACTCTTCTCCTCCTTGTTTTATTTTTCCACTATAGGGGGGCATTTTTGTCCGTGTGGTGGAAATTGATGAATTATTTATCAACAAATACCTCATCCAAATTTGGGGAAATGCCTCTCCAAAAAAAATCAAAAATAGTACAAAGAATTGAAAAAAAAATCAAAGCAGCACCTTAAACAATGAGAATGAGGCATTCATTGGCTGCTCAATAATCTGGTACATTAAGATTGCGAGTCCAGAAGCCCCTTTAAGTAGCGATGATTCTGCCAAAATGCTGCCCTGAGACACTTGACCAGACTGGCTTTCCAAGGAAAGAAGATCTGAGGCAAACAGAGCTGAAAACAAAGCGGGCTCAAAAAGAGTTAAGCTCCTTCCTTACTTAATGCCACTGCTTTCCTGAGAGGCCAGGTGGCAGGAAGTGGGACGACCCCAGCTGACAAAGACAGTCTGACTGTGGGGCAGGGGCTGGAGCAGAGGCCTGCAGTTCGCTGCTAAAGTGGCGCCCCCCAAAGGCAGGCCAGCACCCCACGTTTACATGCAGATTTCTCTTACATTGCTGCAACTGGAAAAGCTGGACCCCGCGCCGGGACCTCAGCCCCACTGGACCGACCTCTGAGCGTCTGCGAAGCTGTCCCTGAAACTGAAGCCCCGCCCCCACACCTCCGCAGGGCAGCCGGCCACTGCGGTACCCCACGCCCCGTCGGGCTGATTCTGCACAATCTGGGAAAAAGCCCCAGAGCTTCTGCAATTCCTACGGGGCCATAGGCATGCAGCGCTTGACTCCAAAAACGACTCCAGAAGCAAATCACCAACGACCACCCGATCAGAGGGCCCGAGGGGCGCCTCTACACCAGTCCGCTGCAGCTTAAGTTCGGTGCATTATCTGAAAGGAACAGCTGGTTGGAGGTATCCAGGGATGTCACTCCAACATTTGGAGCGGCGACCTCAACTCCCAGCACTTCAAAACCCAGACAGAAACAAACGGCCAACAAACTCCCCCACAAGGACAGTTGCAAAACCAATGCCAGGTAGACGGTGCCAGCCTGGGGGTCGCCGCTCAACATGCACCCGCAGCCCCTGGCCGCGGTGAGCACAAGGCAGGCGGCTCGGGGAGGCGCGGCGGTTACCTCTCCGGGCCCCGCGATCCTTTCGCAAAGTCCCAAGTCCCGGTCAGAACAGGCGCGCGCCGCAGGCGGGGGTCGGGGCAGGGACCCAGCGGAGGCGACGCTCCATGGACGCCCGTAGTCGGGCTAGCTCGCTGGCAGGGTCGGCCGGGGGTGTGATCTCTCCTGGCGGCTGGCTGCGCTCGGCCCGCCACGGAGGCTGCAGACTGCGCAGTCTGCGTTTCCCCGTTTCAGATGTACTGACGGGGATTTCCACGGGACTTTCCAAAGTCACGTGACTCTCTCTGGTCAGGGGCTGCGAATCGCGTCCCTTCAGCTGTCGGCCGCCAGGGGGCGCAGGAGGTGAGGGGAGTGCGGGCGCGGCACGCCACGGCACGGCACAGCCCCAGGCCCCGCCCCTTCTTTCCCGGCCCTCCCCTTCCCAGCCCCGCCTGGTTCCTGCTGGAGAAACTCCCTCGCCCCGCCCCGGGGTGTCCCCGCGTGAGTCACCTGGGCATTTCGGAAGCTGGGGTCACGTCACATCCATGTGGAAATCGCGGTGATGGGAACTTGAAATGAAATAGGTTCTTTTTCGCAGTTGTTTTTCTGCAGAAAATCATCAACTGTGGAGAAGAAGAAGGGAAATAAGAAAGAAAGAAACCCTAAAAACCACCCTGGCGCCCGGGCCAGCAGGCCTTGCGCCGGCTTTGAAAAGTTTGGGTTGTGCACGTGATAAGCCCTTAGGCGGGAACCCCAAACAGGACCCGGGCGGGGATTTGGAGAAAAAGCAGCAGTGACAACCTTTGGTCGCTGACTGCATTGTTCCTGCCAGCTCTGGACCCCAGGCTGTGTGAGATGTAGGTCCCAGGGCACACCCGACCCCGTGGCCCCAGTCTTAGGTAAACTTAGGAATGAGAACAACCCTCACCCCTATGCCGTGCTTGCTTCATTTCCCCTTTTCTATTTCTGCCCACCAAGCATCCAGCTGGCATTGCATTCAAGCAGCATTTCAGCTTAGAAATCGCTTCTAGTCCATCACAGTGCTTGGCACTTGTCTCCAAGGCTTTAGTAGGCGTGTTTTTAGTTGTCCTAATAATCAGTTCACCCTAGGGTGCTGATGGCTGATAATACTGGAGCTCCTTTCACCACCCCACGCGTTGCACAGGGAGGGTGACTCATGTGGAGATGGGTGTAGCCCCCTGGGCAGTGGGAGTGCAGGTGTTGTGCAGGGAGCGGTTTTAGGGCGCTTTTGCTGCCTTAGTGCCCTCTAAGCACCGGACCCTTTGGACCATTTACTAAATTGACTAAACTAGAACCAGATGGAAATACTCTGTACTGTGGGCCCTTTAATTACATTTAAGAATACGTATATGATTTTTTTTGTGTGCTAGACCTATATATAGGTTTATATAATATAATTATATATATATATATAATTTTAATATAATTACACATATCTGCCAAATCCAGGAAGAAAAGGTTTATGCATATATAACTTTTCCAGTTAACATCTGCAAGCATAAATGACAATGATCTCAGTTTAATAATCCATCAGGGTCAGGGCAATTGACCAATGCCTCTTTACTGCTAGGCTTACCACAGTGAATTACAGATGAATTAGTGTCCTTTTGCTTCTCTTCTCTCACTCTCCTTGTCCAGAGACATTTTGTGTAAAGTTTCAGTGCAGCTCACCTCCAGCCAAAGGTAATCTTTTTAGATGAGTACTCAGTTGCTCTGAATTTTGCTTATAATTATAAACAATTTAATCACAGAAGAACCCCTGCAGAGGTGGAGTTCAAGGTTGCATACAATAACAGGAGATCACAGTTTTGAAGTCTAGCACAGATTAAAAACCACAGATGTACCATTTATAAGACACACACTGATTGTCTCTTAAACTACATATTGACTCCTTATGAACATTATTTTTTAAATAAAGTAGTGCATCTAGGACAATCAGTCGCACAATTCACACAGCCCTGAAAAGTTTTTTCAGTGCCAACTACCAGTTGGTCATGAAACATGAATGAACTGGAGACACTGTTCATTCCTAAGATTCAACCAAGGATTGGCCAAAACATTGGAACACCTCTGCTTAAGAAGGCTATGATCTTCCCTCCCTTCCTTCACAACTTAGTTTTGTTTGATTTTATTTTTGGTGGTGTTTGGTTGCACATGGCAAGAATGCGTTTGATTACTTTACAAATCAGGAAAACCAATTATCTAAAATTATGACAGGATCTTAAGTAGATTGGTTTGTCCGTTTCAGGTTGCTGGTTGGTAGGCCCCTCTAAGGCCCTTCATTTTTTCCTTCTATGCTTCTCAGAACTTTGATCAGATGAGTCTGAGCATCATCCCATCTAACTCTTTTAACCAATGCCTGGCTAAAACTGGAATGTCCAGCCCGGTATATTTAAAAATAACCCACAAAAAGAGGTTCTACAGGTTTTCACAAAACCTGGAATTTCCACGAGGATGTCTGATCTTTATAATCCAAGCAGTCAGCATTGAAGTTAGGCTTCCAGGAGGCAGTTTGGTCCTTATAATCGAAGCAATCCGTGGTTGAGTTAAAACCCAAGCTTGAAGCTCCATATCCCTGGATGGAAAGAGAAGCTGGGGACGGATTGAGATGGCTGGTGACTGCATTGGTACCCATGGGACTGAGTGTGGCCCCTGGTCCGGGAAGCTGGTGATGCATACGGGTCAAATAAGAACCACAGTCCATGCCCCAAAGTACGAAGTTGAGCCAGCATATCCTTGACTATAACCTGAAGCCTGAGTATAGGTCGTGGGGCAGGACCTTGCATGCAGGAAGAGGAAGTGGACAAGGGATCTGACAGCGGGGAGATGAAAGCTGGGCTCCAGATAGACACGGGAGCACTGCTGCTGGCAGTGGTTGGGACTGAGGTGCTAGAGGGCGGAGTGAATTGGCCACTTGTTCAACTGTCTGAACTCACTTCCCGAGCTGGAGAGGTCTTCTTTTTGGCAGGTCTCACTTTGTTTTGACCTCCATTCTGCTGTTGTTGTTGTTGTTGTTCCTGGCGGCACTTAGCTCTTCGGTTCTTAAACCATACCTGCACCCTGGACTTGGGCAAGTTGATTTTCAGTGCCACCTCCTCTCGCATGAAGATGTCTGGGTACCAGGTCTTGGCAAACAATGATGATTTTTATATGAAGGGTTAAGGAGCTTGAGGCATTTGCCCAGTTTCCACAACCAAAAGGGGCAGAGTTGCCAGTGGCATTAAGCCTGTGATACTCCAAAGCCCATATTGATCAGTCTTATTAGAGCATTCTCAGGAAAGATCCTGTGAGACAGGGATCTTTTGGTGCCCTGATCCCCAGCCTCTCAAATCAAACAGCCCAGCATGCATCCTGGACAGAATGTGGCTTCAGAGGTAGAAGGGTCTTGGTTCCACCTTCAGGAAACCTCCTGGGGTTCAGCTGAGCTGGTAGAAGAAGATAACGCATCTGAAAAAACACCCTGCCTGGAACTTTAATCCTCACACCGCTCTCCCGAGGGTGCTCCTTTATAAACAGAGTTGGCCTGCTCCCTCTCAGCTCTGTCTGGCGCCATGGCTTCAATTCCTCCTGCAGCTTCCACTGCCCTGTCTGGCTCACGTCTTGCTGTGTGGTGTGATGAGCTGGGAGTGCAGTAAGGAGGAGTGACAAGCCCGAGGGGCCATGTTCATACCTGCCACTGCCGACTGGGCCATGTTCATACCTGCCACTGCTGACTGTCCTGACGTAGCTGCTTTGTCATCTTGCCTGCCAGGATTAATGACAAGGTAATAGCAGTCAGATGCAGGAGTGGTCTGTAGCCCTCGGTTTTGTTCAGACTCCACTTTCCATGATTCTGCTACTGGGCTTGTGAATTGCCCATTCCCACCTCCAGGCAGGTTTTACTGCCCTTTCCACCTTTCAAATCAGCAGCTGTGTTGAGCTGTGCCCTTGGCTTTTCCCCTTCTATTATGTAACACATGGACAAGACCAATGACAATTTTCTTGATGAATCAGAAGGAAAGAATAGAAGAGACGGGGAGGGCATAGTGGAGTGACTTCTTCTGAAAAAAAAGGGGAAATACAATTTGGAGAGATTTGTTGAATAAGTTGGAACCAAAGAGATATAGAGTACCCAAAAGACTTGAAGGAGACTTTAATTTGAGCTACAGGCCTTGCCAAGATGGACAGAGCTCTTTAATGAAGAGAGAATGTTTATTAACATCTGGTGGACACTTAGGAGATAAAATATGTCTCCTTATTAGATGAAAAAGGAATTCTGATTATGTGAAATATTTTTGGAGAGTTGCTAAGTTATGTGCCATTTTCACACCAATGCCAGGGTTTATGGGTCATCAGCTGTGTAAAATGAGCACACGTGACCTCTCAGAATTAAACGGTTTCTGAGACTGTGCTTGCAACCTGTATCCCTGTACCATGCAGTAAAAAAGATGTGCATGCCAAGGTGGGGGGAGCAGGAGGAACTTGATGAAAGAGAGCGAGAGCGCCACGTGTGACAAGTGGGAGGTGACCCTGCTCAGCTCAAACATAGTTCATGAGCTTTCTTAATCAAGGGTCAGCAATAGTTGAATTGGTTGCTGATTCTTAACTGGGATGCACCTGCAGTCCCAGCTACTCGGGAGGCTGAGAGGGAAGGGTCCTTTGAGTCCAGGAGTTTGAGTCCAGCCTGGGCAACATAGTAAGACCCCTTTCACTAAAAATTAAAAAAATAAAAAAGAAATTATATATACATATATATCTATAGATAGAGAGATATTTTGAGATGGAGTCTCACTCTGTCACCGGGCTGGAGTGCAGTGGCCTGATCTCGGCTCACTGCAACCTCTGCCTCCTGCGATCAGGAGATTCTCCCGCCTCAGCCTCCCTAGTATTTGGGACTACAGGCGCATGCCACCACACCTACTTAATTTTTGTATTTTTAGTAGAGATGGGGTTTTACCATGTTGGCCAGGATGGTCTCGATTTCTTGACCTCATGATCTGCCC